TTAGCCCCTATATCTGATTCATTATCAAGTCCTTTACTAATTAAATATGTTAAAAATATCCTTCTATATATACATGAAACATAACTCTAGCCTAATCAATGTTCATTTTCTGCTTCAACTGTTGATATGGACATCTGTTTGGTCTGCTGTCCAGCATCCACACCTGCACCCACAGTGGCCTGTTTAGTTCTTGCCAATCATGATACTCACTGGCCACATTGTTGGCCATCCTTCCACAATTCCCCATTAGTTGAGAAGAGAGCTAAATGTTTTTCACATTTCTAGGGAAATAGGCAGAAGTGAGATGAAACTCCATTTATATTCTCCTGCCATAATCCCACATACATAGCCCAGATGACAATTTCAGAACTGAGGCCAAAAGAAAACATCTGGGGCTGGAGTATTTGTTCTTGGACTCTGTTCAGAAATATTGGTGGTCTTTGGGCTTCTGGCCCACCAATCAGCAATACATAAACTATGTAAAGAATAGGTCTGGGGTAATAGTAAAAACAGTAGATCTTTAAAAACTGACATCACTGGAATATCTCCAATCATAGAAATCAGAGTCACAGGGTGAAGAAAATATCACTGAGGGACCATGAAAACGGGGCTGTGATGTGTATTTCTCTGAATATGTGGTTTTACACACACACACACACACACACACACACATACACAGATGGGGAGCCTAAGGTAGGAGAGAAGCTCATCTACATAGAAGGAGGGATAAGGAAGAATGTCTGAGATGCTTAGCTGAGAGTCATTGTAGAAAATTGTCAGGCCAAGTTTAGAATTAAGTACAGGGAAAAATCAATTTATTGGTTTATAAAAGCCTAGTGTGGGTGGCTGAGTTGGTTGCTTTCATAGTCTCTAAATTGAGTGATGCCATGTCACACACACACACACACACACACACACACACACACACACATTCAAGGGTTATCCAGAGATAATATGAAGTTCGTGTGAATTGTAAGTCCCCTAAATTAAGTTTGCTAGGTCTCAGCTCAGCAGATATAAATTATTTAACAATCCCATTTAGTACAGTGGTTAAGAACATGACTTGAGAACCTAGCTGCAATTCTGACTATATCACCAATTCACTGCACAAACTTCCCTGCCTCACCCTCTTTCTCCTCTTTCAGGAGAGGGATAATATTAATAGTACCTATCTCATTAGAATTCCTGAGATGGTTCATTATGTTGTGTACAAGGGCTAGGCATGGAAGGTAGTAGTAGGGCTTTTGCTGGGCATGCATGAGGCCCTGGGTCCCATTTCTATCACCACACACACATGAACACACACATGCAGATACTAAAACAGTGCCTGGTATGTAATAAGTACTATATGGAATACTAATATTACTGTACTTATATTTTTCTATGAAATGTAGTAGGGAGAATAATGCTCTCCCAAAGGGCATCCTAGGTCCTAATTCCTGGAATCCACAGAAATGTTACTTTATGTTGAAGGAACTTTGCAAGTGTTATTGAAGACCTGATATGGGGAGATATGAGATGTATTTAAAGTATACATGGACAATGAGAGTTTTTTAGACCTATGGCAAATATTTGCACAAACTCTTTGTGTCCCCTTGTAACCAAGTGATTGGGTTTTATTTCTACCACCTCCTGTCTATCTCCATCAGGACAGAGAAGCTAACCTCTCAACTCATCCCATCCCTCCAGGAACCTTCCACTAAACGACTAGCAACCAGACATAAACCTGAACTAGATTTTCATCTCTATCTTATAAGTGGCTAAAAGGTATTTCATTGAAGGAAACAGTGAGAGTCAAATAGTTACAGCTGACTGTGTGGCAGGCAGGAGTTATAGTGGAGAGGGATACAGAAAAAGTAACAACAATGATAATGATAACAATAATAGTACTTATGCCTCATAGATCTGGGAAATAATAACTTCATTTAATTCTTATAGTTTTGTGAGGTAGTTTCCATAATTATTTATTTTTTTCCATAATTATTTCTACAACACAGATGGGGAGCCTAAGGTAGGAGAGAAGCTCATCTACATAGGAGGAGGAATAAGGAAGAATGTCTGAGATGCTTAGCTGAGAGTCATTGTAGAAAACTATCAGGCCAAGTTTAGAATTAAATACAGGGAAAAATCAATTTATTGGGCTATAAAAGCCCAGTGTGGGTGGCTGAGTTGGTTGCTTTCATAGTCTCTAAATTGAGTGATGCCATGTCAGAAAAGGGAAGATAAAGGAGTCTCAGCCATGGAATTTATCCACAGTGTCTTCTTCAAGTTGTAAACATGTTTTTAGTAACTTTATGCATATAACCATAAGGAATTAAACAATCACAGCACAAAAGAACCTCATAAACTTGGCGGTGGTTTTACAACACAGCACACCAGCAAGCGAGGTGTTATGACACTAAATAGGTGCACACACTGAGGTTTGCTTGCTCACTGCTGATGAAATTAAAGGAAGCTCTATATTTTGGTAAAAAGGAGAAAGGATTTATTCAAAGCTAGTTTTCAGGAGATGGAGGGGTCTATCTTCTTCAAATCACCATCTCTCCTTGTACAGGTGGGTAAGGGTCTTTTATAATAAGGAGGACAGCGAGACCCTGCAGATCTCCACACCAGCTTTAATTCCTTCCCCGTTCTCCTGGGGCTGGCATCTACATATTCTATCACTGCTTTAGGGGTGAGAAAAGGGAATGGTGATGTGCTCAGCAGGAGGACATTTGAAGACAAATAATCTAACCATTCTTTCCATTTTTAATTAATACATATTTACAGTATATAATGTTTACATTCCTCATAGGGCATTGTTACATAATGCATCCTAATTCCTTTTGTAGCCCCGTTCCTTGACATCCCTCCCCCTCCATCTATCTCTTGAACATCTTCCTTTTTATTTTTTGGTACATGTTTTCAATGCATAATATTTACATTCCTTGTATGGAATTGGTACATGTATAAACACATCTTCATTCCTTTTCATCCATTTCCCTCCTTCCCCTCCTTTGTGTCCTATTTATTTTACTTAAGAGTATAGCCTCAATGTGCATCCATTTAGCTATAAATGTCTCTAATTTCTCATTCTTTATGGCTGAGTAGTACTTCATTTTATTTTTTAAAAACCCACATTTTCTTTATCCAGACTCCAGTTGATGGGCAATTGGGCTGTTTCCAAGATTTAGCCATTACAAACTGCCACTATGAACATGGGTGCACATATATCACTGTGGTATGATTCTTTTAATTCTTTTGAGAAGATACTCAGAAGGAGAATAGCTGCATCAAATGGGACTTCTAATCCTAGTTCTTTGAGGTATCTCCATACTGATTTCCACAGTGGTTGCACCAGTCTACACTCCCACCAGCAGTGGAGCAGGGTTCCTCTTTCCCTCCAGCCCCTCCAGCATTTGTTATTGGTTGATTTCATGATAGCAGCCATTCTTTCTGGGGTAAGGTAGAGTCTCAGTGTTGTTTTCATTTACATCTCTAAAATGACCAGTGATGTTGAACATTTTTTTCATATGTTTATTGGCTATTTCTATTTCTTTGTGTGAGAAAGGTCTGTTCATTTCAGAAGCCCATTTTCGTAATGGGTCTTTAAATTTGGGAGGTCTGGTTTGTTTAAATTCTTTATATATTCTAGATAGTAGACCTTTGCCTGAGGTGCAGCTAGTAAAAAATGTTTTCTCACATTGTGGGTTGTCTCTTCACTCTGTTGGTGGTTTCTCTTGAGTCCTTTGTCAAAGAATAGGTGGCTGAGTGTGTCTGGAGCTGTTTCTGCATCTTCTAATCTGTTCCACTGATGCTCAGGTCTGTTTCTTTGCCAGTACCATGCTGTTTTTATAACAGTATGAAACCTTTTAATTTAATATGTTCTCATTTGTTAATTCTCAGTATTATTTCCTGTGCAACTGGGGTTGTGTTAAAAAAAAAAAACTCCTTGCCTATACCTATGACTTCAAGAGTTTTACCTTGAAGTAAAACTTGTCTTCCAGTATGTTGTGTTTCTGTTTTAATATTTAGTTATTTGATCCATTTTGATTTTAGTTTAGTACATGATGAAAGTTATGGGTCTAGATTCAGTCTTCTAAATGTGGGTAGCCAGTTTTCCCAGCACCATTTATTAAAGTGACTTTCTTTCCTCCACTGTGTGTTTTTGGCACCTTTCTTAAAGATCAAATAGCTGAGTGTGCTTGGGGTTGTTTCTATATTCTCTGTTCTGTTCCATTGTTCCTCATATCTGTTTTTTAATCAATACTATGTTGTTTTTATCACTGTAGTTTTGTAATATAACTTCAAGTCTGGGATTGTGATGCCTCCTGCTTTGCTCTGGTTACCCAAGATTGCTTTTGTTGTTCTGAGTTTGTTCTAGTTCCATATGAATTTTAGGATTGTTTTGTCTAGTACTGTGAAGAATGATGCTGGAATTTTTATTGGGATTGCATTAAATCTGTATACCAATTTTGAAAGTATGGTCATTTTGACTATAGTGGTTCCACTTATCAAAGAATGGGGATATCTTTCCATTTTCTGATATCCTTTTCAATTTCCTTTTTCAGAGTGCTGTAGTTTTCATTGTAGATGTCTTCTACTTCCTTAGGTTAATTATTAAGCATTTAATTTTTCTCATTGCTACTCTAATTGCCATTTTTTCCTAATGTCTTTTTCAGTGAGTTCATTATTTGCGTACAGAAATGCTATTGATTTTTGTGTGTTGGCTTTGTATTATACTACATTACTGAACTTGGTTTTAATTCTAAGAGTCTTTTGGTGGATTTCTGGGGCTAAAGTTCCACTTTGCACTGCTGATTACAGTATGACTGACAAATACTGACTGATTAGCAAATGTGTATGAAAAATCATGGCAATAATTTAAGTTGCTGGATGATGTTATTTTCCTCCAGGTTGAAGTTATACTTGTGTCTAGCAGATAATAGGATAAAGAAGATATCCTTAATTTAATCAGAAGTTAAGATAATTTGAAGCCAATTTCATATTTTCTGAGGATCTTTCATTTCCAGGTTACCCTTACCCTGAGCACAAGCCCCTCTGCACATCTATGCAGTATGCAGGATGTTTACCGGGCCCATTGTTCCTCAGGAAGCTGTGAACTCCCATTTTCCCATCTTTGTAAGATTTCCAGAAGCTCTTCCAGTCTTCAGATTCTGGAAGAATGCCTTTGCCACACATATGATCATTTTTGCATGCATTAATCTACAATTTAGAAAATGACAAATGTTAGAGAAAATCATGTAAGTGCTGTCTCTGATCATTCTTATTAATTATATACTAAATACTTCATGATATTTTCTTTCCCACTTTTTTATTACTATATATTCCATAAAATAAATTCAAGCTATCATTCTGGCCCTAAATATGGAGTATTAAATAAGACATATTGAATAAGAAATAGTTAATAATTAATAATCTTTAAATATTTTATGAATAAGAAAATATTTAAATATTAAGTAGAAGAAAATATATATAAGAAAATATTTAATGGATTTTATGAAAAATTACACACTTTCATATTTATGTTCAAACTTAATAAGGAACGAAAAGTACCTACAAGTAGAATAGATATTTTAATAAAGATATATAGGCAGACATAGACATAGATCCAAGGACATATACACCAATATATGCATGCATGTATGCATAGACACACACACCACCACCCAGGGGAAGGAAAGGGAGACTGAGAATATCAGCTAAGAGACATGGAAGGATGTATAGGAGTTTGAAATGGGAAGAATAAGAAGAAAATATTTCAGTCTTTTTTTTAAAATCTAGCAATCTCTGGTAAGAGATACAAGTTGTCAAAGATTTAATTTTCTCTTGAAAACTTAGATTTCTCATTAGCAAAACATATAACTGAGATGTGAGCTGTTTTCCTTGGATTTGCCTTAATTCCTGAGGAAATATCCATACCATAGAAAGCAAGCATTGAATCATCTAATCAGCTTGAACTCAACGGCACACGTGGTACTCAGTGTTAACTCCAGCTGGCCTCAGAAGTGTTGGAAATGTACTCTCTATGCTGCTCACAGAATATCAAAAAGACACACACTCTGGGGATGAAATTTATAAATTGTACTGCTTTATCAATGTAATTTTTAGATTAAATCACTTTTTTATAAAACATATAATGTGCCAATGACCATAGAGCTTGGTACAAATGCCAAGACACCAGTAGTTGTCCCTATCTGTATATTTTGCGCAATTGGGGAATTGTCAGCACAATATTATCATGAAAATGGGTCTGTCCTTGGGGAATCCCTGATAGAGTCTCATAGACACCCTCCTCCACATCATGCAGAGACTACAATTTGAAAATCACTGGTGTGGGAAGAAAGACCCACCCTCCTGTGTCTACCTGTCCTGTGCTCCTCCTCTTTATCACCTTGCCTTCCATGAGTTTCTTCTGAGTCTATCTTAGAAGCAGGAAATGAGAGATGGTACGGTGGCCACACTACAGTCTAAACTGTCTCTGACAGGGCAGTGGTTTCTGGATCACTGCTGGTTCTGGTTCCTTTCACCAGTGACTTTCTCCATTCACCCACAGCCTACACTATCAAAACAAGTAAAATAGGAGAATGGAAATGAATTCTTCAGGGATGAATGTAAATACTTTACCTTTTTTTTCAGTACTGAGGATTAAGCCTAAGGCTTTTACACCGAGCTACATCCCTAGCCCTTTTTTTGTTTGCTTCGAGATAGGGTCTATCTAAGTCACTAAATTGCCCAAACTGGGCTCCATCTTGCAATTCCCTTGTTCAGTCTCCCAGAGTGCTAGGATTACAGGTATCCACACCCAGCTAATTTTCCTGTTATTTGTGTAATGATTCTTGTGCACAAATGAAGGTTTTATGGAGCTTCCAAAACATTCATGTACATTTTCTAAAATCCTCACAGACACAATGAGAAGCAGGTAAATAAAATAAAATTGTTACCATTTTACTAAAGAAGAAACCAAGGCTCAGAAAGGCTGAGGTGCTGGTAAAAGTCTAAACTCAGCCACACCCTTATTTCCCTCCTCTGAGCATCTGAATTCTCAGGACAGTGAAAACATCTCACCACTCCTGGAAAATTACCCAGAGAGTTCTGTGCAGTCTGCAGAAAGAAGTCTTTACATGGAGTCTTTCTTTGTAATGTCCCTGGCTGCTCAGTGGTCAGATTTTCCAAAGGATTTCCACTATCTGAGCTTGGTACAAATGGTTTGAATAATACCCTGTAAATCACCAGTCCTCCAGGTGATTCAGCTAGATTGCAAACCCCTCAGCTGCACAATTTGGTCCTTGGAGACTACAGGTGACTGGCAGGTGCTCAAAATGGAGAGCAAAGGGGAAGGAGAGAGGGTTTGTAGAGTTGCAGAGCGGGCAGAGTCTCCCCCTGCAAGCCTTTCACTTTTAAGATGACAGATACGAAGTTACTTCTAATATTTGTTGAATTGGGGCTGGGGATATAGCTCAGTGGTTCCGGTGCCTGCCTCACAAGCGCAAGAATCCGAGTTCGATCCCCGGTACCAAAAAAAACAAAAAGCAAAAACAAACAAACAAAAAATATTTGTTGAATTTATCCCTTTACCTTCCTCACCTGAGCTCTTCATATAGTATAGGATGTTGATACAAATTTTGCAGATTTGCAGTCTCAATGAAGATCCAGAGAACAGGAAATCTCTCTGATTCCCTGGAGAGTAGGTCCTGATCATTCCAGAAGGGCTTAAATCCTTTTCAAAGTTTTCCACTGCAAATGTAGATTGTACTCAGAGTAGGTGGAAGAACATGACCCCAAACTTTCAGGTTATTACCCTTTATGCAGAGCAGGTTTTGTTACCCCATGGACAGTTTAACAGGATACAACCATAAAAACAAAGTAACTACATAAAAATTAGCATCTCCCTTCACAGAGAGCAAGCTTAGTTTCCATAATGTAGGAACTGAAGCTCATTTGAGGACAATGTTGAACAGAAGCAGAGGCGGGTAGTTTCATAGAGGAAAGCTGAGTGTGATGTGGAAACTCAGACTATCGAGTTATCTCTACATTTGTGTCTGTGATGTGGAAATGATGAGGATGAAGTGTCTGCCCTCTGGGACTGTTGTGATTTTAGTCATCAGTACTGTAAGTTCTTACTTTTCTTCCTGAAAGGTCTCCTGGATTTTTCCAGGAGATTTATGATTGCTTTTTGCTCAGATGTGTGACATAGAGCAAGACAAGGAACAGATTTAACTCCTCTCTTGACTTCCGCCACTGCTCTGACTCCAGGCTCAGTGGGAGCCATGGTAAACTATGGATTATAACTAGGCTGGATTATGAGGACTGTCAATTATTCTAACTCCTTTATCTATAATACACACTTTCAAATCTAATCCTTATCTCATGTAGGCTTTGAGAGTTTGTGGAATCCTTGTGAACAGAGTAACCATTATTTTTTTTCTTCAACAGATACAGCAAAATGAAGTATTTCCTCCTTACTCACCTCATTTCTACTTCCCAGCATTTGAGGGGAGGCAAGGTACTTCCTGAGTAGGATGGGCTTTTCCATGTTGGTTCTCTGCACAGCAAAAGAATTCTGGGTTTCCTCAGCACCTTCTTCCCCAGTTACCTTTGTGATAAAATGAAGGAACTGGATAAAAATAAGGACCAAGAGAGATTTTGTAAATGTGCAAATTTCCAATAAAAAAATGAAGGAACTGGACGGGAAAGGGAGGTGCATTTCCTAGCTATTGAATAAAGAAGGCTTTCCTAAGTTGTTTTGAGAATTTAATAATGTATCCTGAAAGTGTGGAAAGCAGTGTCTAGTGTTCCTTCCCTTCTGCCACGAACATATTATGGCTTGATCTACCTGTGAAAGAATATAATACCTTATAAGGCACCTGGGCTTCTGAGAGTTGGGCAAACTTGATATCACTGTTTTAGGCAAGGGAATGGTTCAGCATCTGGCAGTTGAGCAGTAAACTGGGCATGCCCTGGATTAACAGGTCTAGGGGAAATATCAAGGCAGCAATAAGGTAAAAGTGAAGGTTTATCTATGTAGATCAGAAGAAGCAGGGATCAGGACATACCTCACTGATGCCAGTGCAAGGTGAATGCTGCCAAGCTTGGGCAGCACGAGGGCAATCACAGACCAGGTAATTTAGAAGAGGAAACCCTGGAAAAGCATGAGTACCAGGAGCACCAGCATCCTGAAGTTACATCAGGCAACAAGTCAGTGCTGTAGCTCAGTGTTAAGTTTGTAATTAATGACTTGTCCTTATTCCATCCCCAAGGCCTCCCTGGCAGAGAAAAAGTAAGTGCTTGTTTTGGGGGGGGTTTTGGTTTTTTTAGGTGTATTGGAGGAGTAAAGGAAAAGTGACCATTAATGCTTAGGTAGCTCTATTCTATGTCCCAGTTCTTGCCATTTTCCTCTCTTGTTCTCTGTTGGTCCCAGTCTGGATCCTGTGACAGGATGCTTTCTCTTTGGTGACCTTCTTCTTGCTTTTAAGCTCTCAATATCTTAACTGACCAGTGCTCAGGCTGCACCTCCCTTCTGCTCTCTCACTTGTTGAAGCCAATCCCCTGCAGGTGAAGTAACTTCTGTGCCCCTCACCTCTCCTCACACCTTCTGAAGAGCAAACATCAACATGATTAGTCAGACACAATACTGCCAAGCACTATGTTTAGCAGACTAGGCAAGGTCGCTGAGGATGTATAGAAGAAACACTCTGTAGAGAGCGTTCTTACAGTTTAAATTTTTTCCACTCTTACCTTCACCTTTCTTTGTTCCACAAGTATTTGTGCAAGTTTATGGGCCAAAAACTATGCAAAGTGTTGGATACGTATTAGAAAAATGAATATAAAATAAAACAAAATTATCTCTGCTCCATGGAGATTTGGGTCCAGAGAAAAAGATATACATTAAGCCATTAATATAGATTTAAAGTTGCTTTTAAACTAAAAAGTGTTAATGGAAATGCTCCAAGAAAGAAAGAAGAAGAAAAGAGATGCCCAAGGAAAAGGCTAATAGTGCAAAACAAACAAACAAATAAAAAAACTATAAGAAAAGTAGGTTTGAATGGAGAACAAATGAGCAAGGGTGACAACACAGGTTAATAATGCACTGGTTTTAAATCAAAACACCAAAGCTTCACAACTGTATGATCTTGGAGAATTATTTTACATCTTTGTGAGAACTATATTTTTTGCAATGAGTATTTTTCATCAGAAAAAAATAGAAATAACAATAGTATAAATAAAGTTGTTGTGAAGTTTAAATGGCTTAGAAATATAATAAGTGCATAGAAAAGAGACAGGGTATCTTTGTTATTTTTTAACAAATTGTATGTTACATGCTTATTTCATCTTTCAGATTTACAAAATGCATGAAGATAATACAAAGAATTTTTATGTGTTCCTCACCCAACTTCCTCAAGGAGTAACATCTTACATTAGTATGGCACATTGGTTCCAATTCATTAACCATTGTTGATACATGAACGCCAGGCCATGTTTTATGCCAATTTCTATTTTCCCTTAGCATCTTTTTTTCTCCCAGGATCTCACACAGGTAACCAAATTATTTTTAGTCCTTATGCCTCCCTAGTCTCTCCAGGATGGATCCCTTTTTGGACTTTGTTTCTGTTTCCCTTGACAGTTTTTCATTAAGTTTATTGGTACATTTTAGGTATAAAATACAGTTCCATTCATCATTGGGATCTTGTACCTTTACATGATGTATGATGAGCTCTGCTTAGAGATGTTGCAGAATGTCCTTTCTTGGAACTGTTCTGAGTTCTCCTGTGGACTAGACTGGGTTATGCGTTTTCAGGAAAAAAGCCCTGGAGGTGAAGTCCCATGCTCACCACATTCTGCACAGGGATATAGTACCAACAGGACCACTTACCTTAATGTTGATCTTGGTCACTTGGCTGAAGCAGTGCTCAGCTGGTTTCTCATCTGTAAATAGCTCTCCTTTTATTGTACTTTTTAGAGGAGAGTCGCTATGGGCAGGTCTCACTTAAAGAGCGTGAAGCATTTTCCACCTCACTGAAGACAGAATATCTACACAAATTTTTTCACTCTTCTGCATGGGAGATTTGGTGCCTCCCCATTTATTTATTTATTTGTTTGTTTATTTATTTAATCACTGTAGACTTGCAGGCATTTAGTTTATACTCTGTGATATAATCCAATACTTCTTTAGTTTGTTGTTCAAATTATTCGAGTGTTTTCTTACTTCTGGTACCACAAGATGTTCCAGTCTTTTCTTTTTCTTTTTTGACTTAGTCCTCTAATGTGCCACTTGTACAAGAAGCCCTGGTTCCTCTTTTTGAAGAATGCTTTATAAACCAAGATCTTGGTACTGGGTGTGCTCCCTGCTACTGCACCAGTGCTTCCTGGCCTCCTTGCCTGATAGATCAGACACGTACGGTGTGTGCACTAACCTGTGCATGTACAAATACCTGTTCATAATGTTATGGTTTGAATCTAAAATGTCTGGAAGGTGATTGGATCATGGGGGCACTGTACTCAGCAGATTCATCCACGGATGAGTTCATAGGTGAATGTGCTGTTAAGAGGTGGGGCCTGGTTAGAAGCAGGTCATGGGAAGCATGACCTGGAGGGGACTGGTTATTCTTGTCACTGACTCTTTCCTTTTCTCTCCATTTCCTGGCTGCCCTGGGATAAGCAGCTGTACTCCCCTGTCCTTCTGCCTTACGTTTCTGCCTTGGAGCCAGCTAGCTTATCACCAAATCCACTGGAAACTGTGAGACAAATAAACCTCTTCCCCTACATGTTCTGGATGTGAAGAATTTTGGTCCAGTTATGGTGGAGTGACTAATACATTTCTGTACATAACTTCCTGTGTTCACAGGAAACTAAACATGAGTTCGTCCTGATATCCCCAGCTCCAGCCTAGTGCACAGGAACCATTCCTGTATCTTCCCCTCATGTACTGTGCACTTCTACTCCCACAATGAGACAACCATCTCCCAGCATTGGCATTCACTTCATTAACTGCTCAATTCCAATACACGTGTATTTGTTACTTTAATAAGAGAACACTATTTCCTTTATTTTATAAGAAGAAAAAGACAAATAAAAGGCAAAGAATTAAGTGTAACTATTTCATTGGAACATAAAAGAAATTTCTGTATGATGGTTTCAATTATTTCAGCAGGGCAAAGACTTTAACTACTACTCAGACCGGGGATGAAAAAGTGATTGTAAATGGAGAATGAATCGTTAGCTTTCCAGTAATGTGACAAAATACCTGACATCATCAACTGATAAGGAACCAAGGTTTATTTTGGTTCACAGTTTTAGAAGTTTCAGTCCAGGGCCAGGTAGCTCTAGCTGCTTTGTGTCTGTGGCAGCACAGCACATCATTGTGGAAGCACATGGAGAGGATGCTGCTCACCTCATGGAGGGCCGAGAGGCAAACAAACAAAAAGCCAGCTGAGGCAGTGCTCACAAAGATCTAACATCCTCCCACAAGGCCCCACTTCCTAAAGATTTTACATCTCCTAGTATCACAGGGCTGTGACCAAGCCTTCAGTACACAGACCTTTGAGGGGCATTAAGATACAAGCTGTAGCAATGCACAGCAATTATTGAACTCTGCTTGTACTTATTTGAAAAATATATAGATTGTCAACCCGTGTTCAGATAGATGGTCATAATGCACAATGAAACTGGCCTCCCTTCATGCAGTTTTTCTTCAGTAATTGTCAGCTTTGTCAGTGTGCTTCTAAGGAAAGCTTGGTTCAGATTTCATCAAATAGAATATTGATTAGACCAGAAACTTCACATAATTTTGATGAGCAATTATAATAAAGACTGCATCTTTGAAAGAAATATTAGAGGAAATTAATTGCACCTATAACATAGATGTAGATAACTAGACACTCATAAGGTCAATGATAGGAGGTCTTGCTGGGGCTGAGGAGTAGGCCAGAATCAGGAGAGCCCGAACTAAGAGTGGAATACTGAAAGTCATTTTGGGAGTGAAAGTTGATAGTGACAGCAAGCCCTGCCCATGACCCTGAGTGGATACTGACTATCATACAGTAGAGGAAAAGGAGATTGCAAAAGTGAAGGTTAAAAACTTTGGATCCAGGTGTTGAGTATCACACGCATAGTGACCCACAAAGAAAGATCATAGAAGAGGAGGCTAGAAAAGCAGCAAGTGAGCAGATTCTATACCTTTCAGTGAACAGAGAACTGGGCCCAGGGTGTCAGGAGACTGCAGCAGCCAGGTGTGGGGAGTGCGAGGGTGGGAGAACCTCAGAAGTAAAGGAGCTTTACAAAAGAGGTGGGGAAGGATAACACTTGACATGCTGACAACTGTTGGAATTAATGAGTGGATCTTAAGTGCATTCATGTGCACATGTGCACACACCCACACACTCAGACATGGGCCCTTCAGAATAATGCCATCTATGGGGCAAGATAGAATTTCTTATTTCTACTTTATCAGTTCTTTCTTTCACATGGATTTTAAGCCTGGCCAGGATAGCCTAGCTCAGCTGTCTCATACCCAAACTGAAATGCAGTAATTCTACACAGGAAGAAAACAATTATCCCATTAAGGCAGCTATAGCTATCTCCTTTCTTCTAGCTGCTGTCTTTCTCACACAGCTGGTGTTTTGACTATATGATTATTCCACTTAATATTCAATTTTCATAGTAATTTCAGGAAGCAATTTCCCTTAATGAAATACAAATGTATACATCTTTGTGTCTCATTTACAAATAAATTTCCTATTGATCTTTGTTTTCATATT